GCCGCGCCGCAAGCCGCCCGCCGCGCACCGATGGTGTAGGATCCGAAGAGGAAGAGTGTCTTGGGGTTGAATGCCTCCGCTTTCACCGCATCTATGGCAAACCGGAGCACCTGCGCCGGGTTTGGGGGAGGCCGGCCACGCCACGTCGGGACGGAGGGGCGCGGGCTGGGCACGCCGGCGGCCTGCACCGCTGCCCGCATGCGCCAGGGCCGGGCGGCGCGTGCGTGCATGCCCCCGCGCGCCCCCCACCTCCTGCTGCGAGGGGAAGGCATACTCTGGTGAGCAGTAGGTTGTGTCCAAAATGATGTCTGCTTGACCCCTGCACCCAGGCAGGCACCCAGGCAGGCAGTCAGGCAGTCAGGCAGTCAGTCAGTCAGTCAGGCAGGCAGGCAGACTGGGAATGAGATGAAGCGCGGCGGGCGGCCCGGCCCTTGTGCACCGCCACTGCAAGCAAGCCGGGGCGGTGGGCGGGAGCGGCGGCCGCACCTGACCGCCGCCAGCGCCGCCTCATGCTGCATCTCGGGGATGAGGCGGCAGTCGCCTGCGCGGCACAGGCGCACATCATCGCCCGCTCGCTCGGCACTTGCTGTTGCTGCTGCTGTCGTGGCACATCAGCAGCCAAAGCGTGGCCATGCAAAGCAAGGGTTTCCCCCACCACGCACACACCCACACACCCACACACGCAGCGCCCCGCCAACCTGTGTGCAGCACCGGGCGGCAACCGGGCGGCTCAAACAGGATCATCACCGCCCCGGGGCAGTGGTTGGCATCCAGGAAGGTGACCCGCACGCCCTCCACCAGGATGGGTGAGTTGAGGGGCACGCACCTGCGCCGCCCGCCGTGTTGTGCCGCTTGTGTGAGGCGGGAGCGGCCGGCGAGGCAGGGTACGGGACAGCGCAGCGCACGGCAGAGACGGCTGGGGGGCTGCGCGCGGTCGCAGGCAGCGCCTCCCTCCTCACCGTATGCAGGCGGGCTTGACGCGCAGCTGCTGCTGGACGAGGAGCGCGGTGGGCGGGGAGCAGTAGAGCGTGCCGCGGTCAAACCTGCGGCGTGCGGCGCCGGCGACGCACCGCCAGCCAGGCAAACGTCAAGGGCGGGGGCAGGGCAGGCGGCACGTGCCGGCTGGAGGGGCGGCAGGTTGCCGGGAGGGGTGGCTGGGCGGGGCAGGGTGTGCAGGGTGCCCGCTCACCTCCCGGTCAGCCCCTTGTAATGGTCGGCGTGGAAGTGGGTGAGGAACCAGTGGCGGTGCGGCGACTGCATGCCGCAGGGGCGGGTGAAACAGGGGCAGGGCGGGTGTGGATATGGCAGGGGGCACACACGCAGGCAGGGAGAGTGGGCTCAGCGAGCGGGAGCCCACTCCTGCTGCCATCAGCGGGCAGGCCCAGGCCGCGGCGCCGGGGTGCGGCCCACCTGCTGCGGCAGGTTGCTGAAGCGGTCCACCACAAACGAGGTGCCCGGCACCAGCTGCCACTGCCGCATGGGCAGCACCTGAGCCGCCCTGCGGGCAGCAGGCCGGGAGGGAGAGCGCTTTTGGGAGGCTTTTGGGAGACGGTATTGGAACAGCGTCTTGTTCGGGCACCTTCCCTCCCCCAGTCGCTGCATCAGTCACAGCGCAGCTCCGCGGCATGCGGGCGGCACCCACCTGGGGCCCCAGCGCTTTCCACCTCCGCCGCCGCCCTCTGACGCCACCGCCTTGTGGGCCCACTGCTGCTTGCCCCGCCCCCGCCCCCGCCCCGCCGCCTGCTGCGCCGCCGCCGCGGCCGCGGCCGGCACGGGGGCCGCGCTGCCGTCTGGACCTGTCAGGTAGCTGAGGATGCAGCCCTTGGCTGCTGCTGCCGCCTGCGGCTGCTTGCCGCCACCCGCAGGCTTGAAGTATTGGAGGATGTTGCGGGAGACGGCGGGAGCCCCGCCGCCGCCTGCCATCAGCGCCCGCCAGTCGCCTACGCCGCTGCCCCCCGCACGTGCATGCGACGCACGGCGCTCCTCCAGCTGCTGCTGCTGCGGCGGCTGCGGGAGGCCGGCAAGGGCAGGGGCCGCCCCTGCCCCGCCTGACCCCTCGGCCCCGCCTGCCCACCGCTCGTCGCCGGCCGCCTGCTCGCACGGCGCCGCCCCCGCGGCCGCCTCGGCCGCCGCCAGCAGCTGGTCGGCCGCCAGCAGCACCTTCTTGCGGGCGCCCAGAGCCGCGATGCCCATCTGCTGCAAGTCCCGGTCGGTCAGGCAGGGCAGCAGCGACAGGCTGGCGCCTGCGAAGGGGGCAGCGCCAGCACACAGCGCAGCAGCCGGGCTGAGCCAGGCCAGCAGGTCAGCATGCGCGGCGTGCCGGAAAAGATGGTCGGCTGAAAAAATGGACGATTGGGGAGGCGCAGCTGTGGCCACCCACCAGCCCGCTCAAAGAGCTCGCAGTACTTGGCCAGGCCATGCTGGTCAAGGAAGGCGGCCAGAGCGGCGTGCTCGCCCATGCCGCCGCCCTCCGGCTGATCGCCGGCGCCGGCTGCCTCCTCCGCTGCCACCTCCGCCTCCTCCTCTGCCCCCTCCTCTGCTTCCTCCTGGCCATCATCATCGTCATCATCAGCAGCAGGTGCCTCTCCACCTCCCGCCACCCCCTGCGTGGCCTCCTCCTGCTCCGACCAGTTGCCATCCTGGCCCTCGTCCTCCCAACACCCCTCCTCGCCAGGGCTGCCCCGGGGCCCTGCTGCCGCTGCCACATCCAGCCCCTGCGGCTGCCGCACGGCGGCGCCGGCTGCCGGCTGGCCCCATGCCGAGTCTCCGGCTGCGGACTGGCTGCAGGAGGCCGCGTGCCGCTGCTGCTGCGCTGCGCTGCCCAGGTCTGCCAGGAAGCAGCCGCAGTGGGGGCAGAAGGCGGCAGCCACGGGCGCATTGGCTGCCGCCATCTGCGTCAGCGGCCCTGCCGCATTCTCATCCTGCTCGTGGTAGCCGGCCCCCAGGCCCAGAGGTGACCGTGGCGGGCCCCGCGCAGCTGACGGGAGTGGGCTGCGCTGCTGCTGCGGCACAGAGGGCTGCTTCCGCCCGCACAGCGACGGCGAAGAGTCGAGCTGTGCGGGCGGCGCGCCGGGTGGCGCCTGCTGCGGCTGCTGAGAGGCGGTCCCAAGGAAGATGCTGCGCACGTTCCAGTTTCCTGGGCGAAGTGCACGCTGGCTGCTGCCGTGGCCCAGGGCTGGCCCTGGCGGCACTCCGACAGCTGCAGCTGCTGCTCCCGCCGCCGCCGTCGGGGGTGGGGGTGCCGTTGATAGGCCGGGGCCGCCTCTGAAGCGCTCTGGCGTGGCTCCCGCATTGCGGCGCTTGCTGGGAAGGCCCGCCTCGCCAGCTACCCGGGCCCACTCTTCGTCGCACGAGTCCAGCGCGACTGCAAACTCATCGTATTCGGCATGCATGGCGCCCACCACACAGACGGAATTGTGATCAGAATCGCATGGTGCTGCAAAATGAAGTTTGCAGGCCCAGCACGGCCCCAGCACGCCCCATGCTCGAATTTGGGAGCCTCGCGTTCTGCCCTGTGGCAATCCAATCCCTGCTGTATGTGCGTGTGCCTTGGATTGCTCTCTACATTGCCAACCCCGCTCCATCGCACCCAAATATTGTCGCCCCACTGCTCCGGTGCCTGCCTCTGGGCCCGGCAGCTGCGTGCGGCTGGGTCATGAGCGCAGCAGCGGCCCTGCGGCGGCAAACCAGAGGATCCCGCCTCCGCCTGGGGGCTGCGGCAGAGGTGCCGCCTGCCGCCGACCAGGCTGCCGTCGAGCAGCCCCGCAAGAGGCAGCGCAAGGCGGCAGCCGTGGTTGATGCTGCGGATGAGGCAGCGCCGGCAACTGCAGCAGCAGAGGAGGCCGCCCCGGCGCGCAAGGCAGGCGGCAAGGCCAAGGCAGCGGGCGGGGGCCCCTCGCGCGAGTTTGAGCGTGAGCTCTGGCAGCAGGGCTATGCGCGGGTGGCTGGCGTGGATGAGGCCGGGCGTGGCCCGCTGGCAGGTGCGGGCGGGGTGTGGCTGGGAAGCCTCTGCTATGGCGCCACCCGCGCTTCGCTCTCTGCCTGTGCCATCTGCACGTGCATGTGCGGGCTCCGCAGCCTGCCGTTCCCTGCCCAGCCCTGACGGAGGCGCACATCAAGCGCAGGCCCGGTGGTGGCGGCGGCCTGCGTAGTGCCGGAGCACGTGGACATCGCCGGCATGGACGACAGCAAGAAGCTGAGCGCGCAGCAGCGGGAGGCGCTCTACGCGCAGCTCACCGGCCACCCCGACGTGCTGTGGGCGGCCTGCGTGGTAGAGGCGGAGGAGATCGACGCCATCAACATCCTGCAGGCCGCGCTGAAGGCCATGGAGGGCGCGGCGGCGGGCCTGACCGCGCAGCCAGACTTCCTGCTCGTGGACGGAAACAGGCTGCCCAAGGTGCGTGCGGCCATGTGCGTGAGAGAGGCAGGAGCTGCCGTCGGCGCCTCTGCCGTCGCACCAGGCGGCCGTCCTCCAACCGCTGCTGCTGCCCTGCTGGCGTCCGCCTGCCGCAGGGCTTTGACCCGCAGCGCTCCCGCCCCATCGTCAAGGGCGACAGCAAGTCGTACTGCATTGCGGCTGCCAGCGTGATTGCCAAGGTCACGCGGGACCGGCTGATGGAGCAGCACCACGAGCACTGGCCGCAGTACAACTTTGCGGGTGGGAGGGGGCGGGGCAGGGGCGTGGACGGTTGCTCAGGGAGGCGCCACTGGTTGCTGCCGTGCCTGCTCTGGGTGGCTCTGGAGGTCTGCTGACCAGTGCTGCTGGCCGGCTGGGTACCTGCTGCAGGGCACAAGGGATACTGCGTGCCGGAGCATGTGGAGGCCATCCGCCAGCATGGCCCCTGCCCCGTGCACCGCCGCACGTTTGCACCCACCAGGCTCTGGTTCCCGGTGGGGCAGGCAGACGAAGGGGAGGCAGGATCCAAGGCGGGATCCAAGGAGAAGAACAGCAAATGGCAGCCCAAGGGCAAGAGCAAGAAGGCGCCGGCCAAGTGAAGGAGCCACACCAGTCAACAGCACTCGCTGCTGTGTTGGCGTTCTGTCTCGGTCCGTGTCGGCCCGCAGCTTTGCTTCAGGGGATCTAGTTGGATCCACAGTTGCAATTCCTCATTTTCCTTGTATCTTAAAACTCCTGTCAAGATCTGGACAGTGCAGGCAGGCCTGGATCGTGCAGCAGGTAGTGGCCACGCTGCGATCGCTGGCAGCCGGGCGCCTCGTCAGCGGCGCTGGCTGGCGTCACCTGAGAAGCCGGCCCACCGTTGCACGAATTCAATTCCCTCCTTTGGCACATTTAAAAGCTTGCCCTTTCAGCCCCCTGGCCACCCGTTCAACGCCGATTCTACTCGGTCTGCCCACGGCTGTTGGGGTCTGCGGCAGTCGCTCCTGGGGCCCTTGGGCTGTGCACACGGCTGTTCTCTATAGCGGCCTGCACCGCAGGCGGTTTGACGTTCTTCCATTCCTTTCGAGTCGCCCCATCGCCAACATGGCCCTCCGCGTGTGCGTCCTGCGCAAGCTGGTGCACGCCAGCGAGAAGCAGTGGAGCCGGCTGGTCATTCCGGGGGCGCAGGCGAGTGCCGCGGGCGGCGACGTGGAGTGGTCAGCGGCGGCGGCGGCGGGGGCGCTCTGGTCGCCGCCTCAGCGGGCGCAGCGCTGCAAGCTCTTGCCAGTGGGCGTCTGCTGGCCGATCAGGGTGATACAGAGGCCTCGTTAACGGCTGCTGCTTCCCCTTGCCGCCCAGCAGGTGCCGCACTTTGTGCAGATGCAAAAGGAGCTCAGCTTAGTGGGCTCCGACTTCCAGGTTTTTGTGGGCGACACCGCCGGCAGGACCTGGCGCTTCGGCTGCCGCATGGAGGTCCAGGTGAGCGGTGGCAGGCAGGCCACGCCCTTCATCAGCCTCTGGACTGGGTGCGCGCCTGCAGCCAGAACAGCGCCACGACGGCAAGCTTGCCGCCCTGCCGCCTTCCACCCGCTGCTTGCTTGCAGCGCCCGATGATCCTGGAGCTGCACCCCTTCTATGACCACCATGACGTGCAGCCGGGAGACACGGTGTGCATGTTCCGTGATCTGCACACCAACATGCTGATAGTGGAGGTGGAGCGGGGCCCTGGTGCACCCGCGGGGGAGGTTGTGGTTGCGGTGCCAGCGCCGCGAGCTGCCGCCGCTGCCGCAGCTGCCGCCGCCGAGATTGCCGCTGCTGCGGCGGCGGCGCTGGCGGCCCGGCAGCTGCCAGGGAAGAGGTGGAGCCACCACATGCGGGCGGGGCAGGGCAGCGGCAGCGGCCAGTACCGGCGCTCGCCTGCCGTTTCAGAGGAGGAGGTGGAGGAGGTGGAGCAGGAGGATGACTGGGACTACAGCCCCTCCGCTGCCCGCCGCAGCAAGGCGGGCGGCCACGGCGTCCATGGCACGCAGGTGGTGCGCCGCGCCCTGCACACAGCCCAGTCTGGCGCGCCGCAAGTGGTGGATGCCGGCAGCGACGAGGTGGGCCGCCACCCCCTGCTTCCTGGCTGGGGTTGCCCTGCTTGTGGGCAGCTGGGGCGAGGCGCTGCCGCCGCAAATGGCACAGCCGCTGCAGCAGCTGCCACCTGTGAAAAGCGTGTATCTGCCGCCCGGCCATGATGCAGGACAGCAGCGACGTCGTGTACTACTCAGCCTCCCAGATGCGGCGCTTCGACGCGCTGGTGGATGCGGCGGCCCGCGTGTCCCAGCCGCTGCGCTGAGCTCAGCCACAGCATCATCTCAAGAGCTCGTAACATTGCAATTGGTTCAAAGAACTCCAATGAATGATGGATCTGTCCTACTTCTGTGGCCACTCGTGGCTACGCTGTCTGCGCGCGTATGTGACCTGCCGCTGGCCGGCATGTGCCGGCGCTCCCCTCGCTACCCTACAAAATTCTTTGACCTATTACTTTCATTTTTGGTTGGTCCCCTCATTTCCGGGGCCGCGATCACCAGCCTGCTCGTCCTGCCTGGTGGTTCCTGCTGCAGCCGCCTCATCCCACCGCCACCCGTCCTGCGCCGCCCCGTACCGCGCTTCCTTGTGCCACTTTTGCCAGCCATTGCGCTGATCACGTCCCGCCGACATTGTCGCTACGTAACGCCCTCTATCATCTCCTGTTTGGCTTCGCTCTCTCCTGCCCACACCGCTTTGGCACTGAAAACGTGCATCTCGGCCCTGCTCCCAGCCGGTGGGCATCCTGCTGCCATCGGCACTGGGACTGCCTGGACGTGTTTCAGGGGACTGGGAAGAGCATGCAAGGCCATCACGTTGCAATCGGGAGGGCTCTCGCCGGCAGTGGGAGCCGCCCCCTGTGCGTGCAGCCGCCCCGGGGGCGGCAGGCGGTGCGCCAAGTGACACGCTGCGAGGTGGCGAGACCTGGCGGGGGTGCCCGGGAGGATGAGCTCTCCCAGAACTCTGCAGCAGCAGCTCCGGCCCCAGACAGTGAGTGGGAGGGATGCGGGCGTCGCAACCGCGATTGGCGGCCAGGGTGGCGCCCTGCCCTCCACCTGCTGCCACCCCGCCACCACCGCCACGCCACGCCGCCGCCGCTGCCCACGCGTGCGCATGCGGCTGCCCCCCTGCCTGCCCTGCCCGCAGTCAAGTCACTAGAGTTCCCCGCCCCCGGCTCGGCGGCAGCGGCAGGGCCAGCAGCAGCAGCCCAGCAGGATGGCAACCCCATCAAGACCAGCGGCCTGCACCGCACGCCGCTGAGCGGCGGCGTGCAGAACGCCACGCTGCGCTGCGACCTGCCCTCCCCCGCGGTGGCAGGTGCGTGTGGGGGGGTGGGTGGGGCGTGGCCATGTCGGCTGGCTGCACAGCTGGCTGCAGGGAGCAGCCAACACGCCGCTGCCGTGCACTTGGTATGCCTGCCCCGGCCGGCTGAGGGCGTTCTCGCGTTGACTGCTGCTGCTGCTGCTGCAGCTGCTGTTATTGCTGGAGTGTGCCCCACTGTCGTCCGCCTAGCTGCTGCCTTTTCTCTTGCCCGCCGCCTGCAGTGCGCAACCTTGTGGAGCAGGCGCAGTTTGCGCACCTGTGCACCGTGATGAGCAACATGCACCACCGCCGCGCCGGCTACCCCTTTGGCTCGCTCGTCGACTTTGCGGCAGACGGCGCGGGGCACCCGGTGTTCAGGCAAGCCGGCCAACCCCGCCCGCTCCGCTGCAGGCGGTGCCAGCGGGGAGCTGCGCAGCAGGCAGGGGGTGCCTGCACGACGGCCCACCGCCATTCATTGCCCCCGTCGCGCCTCCTCCCGTCCCTGGCACGTCATGTCCCGCAACGCCTCCCCAGCCGGACCCCCTCCCCCTCCTTCCGACCCCTCCCTGCCTGCCTGCCTGCCTCCCGCCGCCCCCGCCCGCCGCAGCCTGTCCCCGCTGGCCATCCAGACGCGCAACCTGCTGGAGGACCCGAGGTGCAGCGTGGTGGTGCAGATGCCGGGGTGGACGGGGCTGGCCAACGCGCGGGTCACCATCTTTGGGGACGTGCACAAGCTGCCGGGGCCGGAGCTGCAGGAGCAGGCGCAGGAGGTGGGCAGGGGGTGGGCCCGGGGGTGGGGCGGGGCGGCGGGCTGGTGGTGCGCAGGGAGCGGGGACGCCGGAGGAGCGGGCCCCCGCCCCTTCTGCCCGCCCCCTGCCCGCTGAACATCCGCACGCGCTGCCACCGCTGCCACCCGCCTGCCACCCCCCGCCTGCCCCCCCCCTGCCGCAGATCTTCCACAGCAAGCACGCCACGCGCGCCAACCGCGGCGGCCGCTACGTGTCGGGCAACTCGGTGTTTTTCCGCATGAACCGCATCCTGGACATCTACTTTGTGGGAGGCTTTGGCACCGTGCAGGTGCGCGGCGGGCGGCTCGGGGCGGCCCCGGGGCGGTTCCGGGGCGGGTGGGGGCGCCCCGCGGGCGCCGGCCGACCATTTCTTGTGTTGTTCGGGCGAGAGCCGGCACGGAGGAGCAGCAGCGCAGAGGTGTTGCCCAGCGAGGGGAGCCGGTCGGCAGGCGGCTGCTGCTGGCGCGCCAGCCTGGCCGCGCCCCCCACCTCGCCCCCAGCCGCCCCCGCTGCTGCCGCCCTGCCCCCCCCTGCCGGCAGTGGGTTGATGTGGAGGAGTACAGCCGGGTGCAGCCAGACAGCATCGTGCTGTGCAACCCCAGCCGCACGCTGCAAGTCCTCAACGAGACGTACTCGGGTGGGTGGGTGGGTGGCTGGGGTGGGGGTGGCGAGGAGCGCGCTGACGCGTGTGTGCGCATGTGTGTGTGCGGCAGCGCCTGCGCAGCAGTGGCGCAGCGGGCGTGCAAGCCGTGCCAGGGGTGCAGCAGCCCGGCCCGCGCGCCAGGCGCGTGCCGCCTGCCGCTCGCGTGCGCGGGGCCCGAACGCGCCGCCCCCGCCCTGCCTGCCCGCAGCCCGGGTGCGGGAGCTGCTGTCGCGGCGCGACCTGCCCGCAGACGACGCCGCCTTCATCTCCATCGACGGCCGCGGCGCGGATGTGCGGGTGCGCACCGGCGGCGAGTACAGCGTGGAGCGCATCGGATTCGACCAGGCAAGCCTTTTGGGGGCTGCGGGCACGAGATTTGTGGAGCTATTGTTGTTGTTGTTGTTGTTGTTGTTGTTGTTGTTGTTGTTGTGTGTGTGTGTGTGTGCGTGTTGCGTGGAGCCACCCGCCTGCTGTGGCCTCAAGCCAGCCGCCCGGCAGCGAGTGCCTCCTCCCTGCGCCCCTGTGCACGCCCGCCTGCGGCCTGCCTCGACCTGTGCATGCCCCGCCCTTCGCTCTCATCGGGCGCAGGGTGTGGAGACGCTGGACGATGCCATGGCCGCTATGGCTCGCATCCTGCGTGACCCGCGGCACGCAGAGCAGCTCAGCAAGCTGCGGTGAGGCGGCGGCGCGCCGGGCCCCGGACGCTGCGCCCGTGACAGCCCCGCGCGCGCTGGCGCGGTTGGCTGGACGCTGGCTGGGAGCCGTGGCGACTTTCTGTCGTGATGGTGAGGGCGAGGCCGGCCTGCGCCGGCTTCGGGCTGGCACCCCCAACACCCAGCATTCAATACCCGTTACCCCCTTGGCTGTTTTATGGATTATTCATTCCCCGTGCTGAACCTGTTTTTGTAACTTGTATGCTGCTGTTGACATCAACAGTGCGTGGCCATCGTAGCCGCTTGAGCAAGTGTGCCTTGCGGCCGCCGCCAAGTGGCGCTGCATCGCACATCAGAGCGCAGCCTTTGCTGGGTCCCTCCATGTGCGCTGACATCCCTCAATGGTGCAATTATAGCACCAGAACCACACTGAACTGGGGCAGTGTGGCGGTCCCTTGTGCGACGTGATGTCAACAACTCTCCGTACGCGCCCCCTAACTTTTTGCGCAGCATTCTGTCTTGATTTTCCTCACATGCGCGAATCCAACCTCGACATGTCCTCCATGGCTGCGAGAATTTTGCTCGTGGCCACCGCCCTGCGAATAGCGAGAGGCCCAAAGGCGAGTGCTGGGAACCCAGCAGCGCTACATGCGGGTGGGGAGGCTTTGCGTAACGACGGACAGGGCCCTGCGGGAGAGATGGCGCGACGACTCATATGCCTCCTCAGGCCGCCCCTGCGGCCGCCGCTGCCGTCGTGCCGCCACTTGCGTGCCCCTGTGGGCTTACAGACTGATTGCAGCAGGAACGGTCCTCACCCCTGTGCAGCGCGGCCTGGACTTCTTGGTCGTCCACCTGGTTGTGATTGGCTGCCCAGCCCTGGAGCTGGCATGCGCTCGCCTGGCCCCACGCTGGCACAAGCGCCACCGCCTGCCGCTGTTCCTGGCCATCCGCCTCACTCTGGCTTTAGTTGGCGCCATCCCATTCACCATACCCGAACCTCCCCCCACCTCCTGCCCTGAGTTCTTCTTCCACTTTGCCGCCAACACCTGCGCCCTGGCCGCATTCTTCGTGCCCCTCGCCTGGAGGCTGCCCGCGCGGTGAGAGATGCGGGCAGACAGTGTGTGGGCCCGCCCCTGCACTGCCAGCATCCACCCGCATTGGCGACAGATGCCGGCACGCTGCCGTGGCTGCTCAGTGTACCCCAGCTGTGCCACCCACTCCTGCCGCAGGCTCAGCATCCCAGTCGCCGTGCTGCAGCACATGGGCATGGCGCGCGTGGCGGTGCACCGGTGCGGCGTTCAGCCGCCCAGCCACCCTGGGCGTGACAGCCTGCTGCTGGATGCCGACCCCGGCTGCTGCCTGGACAGCCTGGCTCGGCTGCTCGACTGGCCCTTCTACATGGTGGCGCCCGACGTGATGGTGGCAGAGGGCGCCCCGCCCGCACGAGCCTCCTGCCTGGCGGCGGCGCTGTGGATGCAGCTGGTGGCGGGCGTGGTGCTGCCCGTCGCGCTGCTGCGAGGTGGGAATGGAGCGCTGGGTGGCAGGCAGGAGGCGGGCGCAGCAGCAGAGGTACACGCGGAGGCGGCAGGCGCCGGCGCTGGCGAGCGGGGGGCGCAGATGCTGAGCAGCTGGCGAGCATGGCTGGACGCCCTGCTGGACGAGGCGCCGATCGCCAGCTGCGTGGCCGCCGCGGAGCTCATGTGGATGCTGCTGCGCACCGCCTGTGCGCTGCGCCTGCCCAGCTGAGTGTCAACTCCGAGCATCCTTCTTTGATCAAATAATTCAGCACTGCTAATGCATGATGTCCTGATGCCCATGCTATGCCCCGTATATACTGCTACTGTGCCCGCCGGGCTTCAGTAGTGTCCACGAGGGGGATCCTTTGAACAAGAGTTTGTGTGCAATAGTGGTCCCTCCTCCATGCTTAATAGATTGCCTCTATTTTCTTTGCTGCAAGTACACAGCAGCACCGACACCACCAGCCCAACCAACAACTTCCCTTATAACAGGTGCCTTTCCGCTTCGCACCCACCACACTGATATGGCCTCATTTGGGCATTTACACGCACCCGCATGCCTTCTGGGCGTGTAATGAGCACCGTTCTGATGGGTTTAGCCGCTTGGTTTGGTTGATTTATACCTCCTCCAGGGTCACCCAGTTCCGATGGAAGATCCCTGGTTTGGCTTTGGCATGCTGTCACTTGAGCCCCTGATCTGGACGTCATGTCGCCAGGTGAACTTCTTACAGCTTATGTGGCGCACCGGGAGGCCTGGCACGAGCTCTTTTCGCGAAATCTGTTCGGGCAGCGCCAGGCTGGCACCCTGACGGCTGGCAGCCCCTTCAAAAGCAGACCTCCCGCTTTGTTCGCACCATTCCCATCTCACTCTTCACTCTTTCTAGGGCTTTCGACCGCAGCGCAGCCTCACACTGCGCCTGCCTGCCCTCACACACCCACGCATCTACTTGCAACCAAAGATCGGGCCACCCACCTCCGCCCGGCCGGCCCAGGGCATTTCCAGCGTCTCACTCTTTGAATCGCATTACATTTCAAGCTCTACACCCGCACTTGGCCCGCCTGCCATGGCGCATCTTCGCATTCTGCTCCCCGCTGTCCTGCTGGTGTCAGCCCTGTGCGGGGCTGCCGCCTCCCCAGCGGAAGACGACACTGACAGCATCATCGTGCGGATGGAGTCGGACCTGGGGGCTGTGCATGACAGCGCCTTCTCGGTGCAGTCGGCCGCCGCCGCCGACGCCGCCGGCGAGCTGGGCATGCCCATTGGCCGCCACCTGCGCCGCGTCACCCTGAGGACCGGCGTCAAGCTGCAGCAGCAGCTGGACCGCCTGCGCGCCATGAAGGGTGAGCCGGCGCCCGCCAGCCGCCACCTGCCTGGCCCCGCCTGCCGCCGCCTGTCGCCGGCTGCCGCCCGCCGCCTCAATGCCCCGTCCCTCGCCCGCCCCAGCCTCACTGCCACAACTCCCCTCCTGCCCACCCACCCTCCCTCGCAGGCGTCAAGTATGCTGTGCCCGATCACCGCATCTTTCCCCAGCGCGTCGACACCGCCGACCAGGCAGCCCAGCAGCAGCAGCAGCAGCAGGAGGACGGCGCGGCGGCCACCCTTGCGGGCCTGGCCGCCCGCGAGTCGTTCAAGTTCCAGTGGGGCGCCGCCCGCATCGGCCTGCCTGACGCCTGGCGCATCGCCACCGGCGCCGCCTCCCCCGACAAGGCCGTCACGGTGTGCGTGGTGGACTCTGGAGTGGACGTCAAGTGAGTGGGCGGCAGGGAAGGGCAGAGCAGGACAGCCTCCAGCGGCGCCCGCCGGGCATTGCTCGTCCATGCCCGCATGGCCCTGCTTGCCCTGGCACACCTCCCCCGCCACCACCGCCGCCCCCGGCGCAGGCACCCCGACCTGGTGGCCAACCTGAGGCAGGGCTTCAGCGCGGTGAGCGGCGACGACGAGGACGACCCGACGGACGAGGTGGGGCACGGCACCACGGTGCACGGCGTGATTGCCGCATCCGGCGCCGACGGCGGCATCCTGGGCGTGAACTGGGGCAACGTGAGTGGCTGCAGCTTGAACAATGCTGCGGATCTGCATGCGGGGAGCTCTCATGCCGTGGCGCCGCCGTGGCTGAGGTGGTGCTGTTGTCTGAGCCCTGCCCTGCCTGCTGCCCGGCGACCACAGCATGTGTGGCTGCCACACCTCAGCCACGCCTCCTCACCCGGCCTCCTCCTGCCTGCACCTCCCTGCCCTCCCTGCCCGCCCCATCTGCAGATCAACATCCTGCCCTGCAAGTTCATGTCTGCCGACGGATGGGGCAAGACCAGCGATGCCATCCAGTGCATGGACTGGTGCCTGGAGCAGAAGGCAGAGATCATCAGCGCCAGCTGGAGCTGCGGCGAGCTGTCCAACCCGCCGCTGGAGGAGGCAGGTGCGTGTTCCGAGGAATGGTGGGAAAAGGGGGGCAGGAGGCATGCGGTGTCCGGGGTACAAAGGCAGAGGCAGACACGCCCGCTGGGGATTGCCATCCACACTGCCTTCATGCTTGCTGCTCCGCCCCTGCTGACCCTCACTCCCCGCCCTCCTCGTTTGCCTGTGCTGCAGTGGCACGCACCAAGCAGGCGGGGGCGCTGCTGGTGATTGCGGCGGGCAACCAGGGCGCCGACATGCGCAAGACGCCCTACTACCCGCAGTCGTATGCCAGGCAGTACGACAATGTGCTGGTGGTGGGGGCCTCTGACGAGTACGACGAGCACGCCTTCTTCTCCAACCACGACCCAGACACAGTGCACTTGTCGGCGCCCGGCCACTGGTGAGCCGGGGGGTGCGGCGGGGCGGGCTGCACAGGCTGCCGGCGGCGCGGCAGTGGGCAGGGGCGGGCTGTGATGTGTACATACCGGCTGCGAAGTCTGCGGGGGGCGGCAGGCGTGCAGGCAGCATCCGCCCCGTGCCGCAACGTCTGCCCTGCTCACCCATCCCCCGCTTCAACACTGCTGTGCCGCAGGATTTACAGCACCACCGTGGGCGGCGGCTACAACTTCAGCAGCGGCACATCCATCGCCGCACCCTACGTGTCTGGCACCGCCGCGCTGCTGGCGGCGGTGGCCCAGGACAAGCTGGGCAGGGCGCTGTCGGCGCTGGAGCTCAAGGCTGCGCTCATGGACTCTGCCGAGCATGTTGATGCGCTGGCGGGGCGCACCGCAACCGGCGGCCGCCTGCGCACCGACTGGGCGCTGCAGAAGCTGCTGGGTCGGGAGCTGTCTCCGCCCGCTCCCTGCGTGGCGCGGCCTGGCGACCAAACCAAGTGCGGCAGCGGCGGCGGCGGGGGGCACGGCAGGAAGAAGCACAGCGGCGGAGATGACGAGTCGCCAAGGCGGCGCCGCAGCCGCCGCATGCACGCCGCCGCGGTGCCCGCCTACTAGACCTGCTTGTCCCTCCTGCTCTTATCATCCCACTAATCATTCCCTGATTGCTATCCCTGCTGCTTCTCCACTCATCGACTTGCTCCGCATGTGATGCATGTGATTTTGTTCCCTCGCCGCTGTGACAGCGCTCATGTTGCCCTCAGTCACTCATCTCTGACCACGCGCCCTTGTAAACATCAGCAGCTTGCAGAGTCCATGCCATGGTAGGTGCGTGGAGCAAATGCAGCTCTGGAAGACCTTTGTTGCAGCGCCCTGTCGCGCACGCTTTGTGTGATGTGGGCGCTGTGCTCCCAGCGCGTTGTTTGGCGCTCCGCTTCGACCCTCTTCCGATCTGTTAGTTTCTTGGAGACCACCATGGCAACCCCGGTCCCCTCTGAGCTGCACCTGGCGGTGCACGAGCGGGACGCATCGGCGCTGGCCGCGTTGTTGGCCAGGTTCCAGCCAGTGTTGGCCAGGATTGACTCAGAACTGGCAGCACACATAGGGCAGCGGTCTCCACTGTGGCACGTTGTTGCCGCAGCCAATTGGCGCGAGGGGTGAGCTGGTGTCGGGGGCGGGCCTGCCCCTCGCCGGCGCGCGCGTGTCGCCCCAGCAGCTCGAGCCCCTGCTGCCGCCATTGCCTGATTGGAAGCGGGCCAGGGTGCTGGAGCTTCGCGGCGGCATCTGCAGCCTGTCCCTGGCGGCGATGCTGGGGCACAGCGCCGTGCTGGGCGCCCTCTTGGACGCCGGCGCAGTGCCCAACCCAGCCTGCGCGCGGCGGGCGCTCCACCCGCTGGCAGCAGCAGCCACGTCAGTGCACCGCTCCTGGGGCAGCGGCAGCAGCAGCGAGGCAATGGTCTCGGAGCAGACGGCGGTCGAGATGTGCCAGCGGCTGCTGGCGGCGGGGGCCGACGTGGTGGCGGCTTGCTGCCCGCCACACCATTCTTGGCCCGGCGTGTGGCTTGTGTGCCTGGAGAGCCGCGCCATCCAGCGGCTGCTGCTGGCAGCCCTGCAGCAGCGCGCCTGCGGAGTCCCCGGCACCTTCTGGCCCACCTTCCAGCAGTGCTCGGCGCTGCTGCTGCTGGCGGCGCAGGCAGACGACGCCCGCGCCTACCGCCACTTTGCGGCGGCCCTGCCGACCGCCAGCCTGCCCTCCCAGTATGCTGCGCTGGCCGACGAGGTGGTGGCCACAGCCTGCAGCGGCAGCGGGCAACGCCAGGTGCTGCGTTGCATGGCCGAGATGGCAGCGGCGGCGGCTGCAGGAGGCGAGGAGGCAGGCGATGCGCAGGTGCTGGGGCCGGGCGCTGCAGCCCCGGCCGTGGCACCAGCAGCAGCGGCAGCGGCAGCTGCGGGGCAGCTGGCTCCTTGTGTCGGGGTGGTGCTGGAGGCAGCGCTGGCGGGCGCTGCGCAGGAGGGGCAGGCAGGGGAGGTGGCGCTGCTGCTGTCGGCGGGCGTGCCGGCAACCGCGGCAGCCGTCAGAGGCGCGGTGGTAGGGGGGCAGCTGGAGGTGCTGGCCCAGCTGCTGCCCAGGGTGGCGCCGGCGGGGCTGCTGCCAGCACAGCCTGCCCCGGGGGTGGTGTGGGCCGTGCCCAGCGGCTGGCGGGCGGCCTCGCAGTACCCCTGCCCGCTGCACACCCTGCTGGCTGTGCATGCCAAGGAGGTGGGTTGGCGCATGCGCCCGCTGCCGCTCAGCCGCTTGCGTGCGCTGTGCCTGGTGGGATGGCTTGCTTGCTGGCTGCCCACGCTGGCGGGGTGCCCGCTGGTGTGCCTGCAGGAACAGGAGGCGCTGCACCCGCGCAGCCTGGCCATTGCAGAGGCGCTGGCGGCGGCCGGCCTGCGCCCGGCTGTGTACCGCGGCGTGGTGGTGCATGTGGAGGGGGAGGAGGGGCCCCGCCGGGTGCCCAGCTTCGACCCCGCACGCCACGACCCCAGCCTGCAGGCGCATGTGCGGGGCGGCGGCAGGTGAGGGCGGCCGGCGCCGGCCGGCGAGCGCATGCCTTGCACCTGTGTGCCTCACGGCGAGCCCACCACTTCTGAACACCACCGCCTGCCGCCTGCTTGCCTGCTCTGGCGCTCGGCACCTGCCAGGCAGCTGCGTGCCACCGGCTGGCACGACTGGCACGCCGCCCTGTTCCCCCCTGCCCGCCGCCGCTGCTGCGCAGGTACCTGTGGCTGGCCGCCACACGTCCCGCATGGTCCCGCTCCCAGCACCGCAGCTTCCCACCCGCCTTCCACACCGCCGCCCGCACGCTCCTGCTGGCAGCCCACCGCGCCCATGCACCCGGCGGCAGCGGCACAGCTGGCAGCCGCACGCCGTGTTCCCCAGCAAGCGCTCCGCCTGTGCCGCCGGCCCTGGGGTGCCTGCCAGAGCATGTGCTGGATGAGATCCTGCACCTGGCTGCCTACCCGCTGTCGGCGTGGGCCGCTGTGGCATAAGAAGCGCCCGCGGTTGGCCCACCACACGCGTTGTGCATTGCCATGTAAGAGCTTGCTGGGTTACAGGCGCGAGCGAGCAACCAGAGGGACGGGAATCGCTCGGGGAGGGCGGCGGCAGAGAACAGGAGCAGGCAGCGGAACATGTTGAGAGGAAAGCAAAGCCAAGGAGCCACATGCTGTGGGCACAGGCACGGGCATGCGCGGCACGGGCCACGCCAGCCAGCCGCAGCCGAGCCCCGCCACTGCAGCGCCGCGCGCCGCCCCCCCTAGCGCACGTATCGGTCCAGGAAGCGGCGGTGGAAGTCGTTGCGTATGGTGTCGTTGATGAAGCGCTTGGTGGCCTTGGGCTCGCCCCGCGTCTGGTTCCTGCACACGGCACGCCACGCCACGCCATGGGCAGGGCAGCGGGAGGGGCGTCAGGTAGGGCAGGCAAGCCGGCAAGCCGGCCCGGCCCGGCGTCGGCGTCGGCGGCAGCGTCTGCGGCAGCGCCGCCCACCTGAACACCACGTCGTCGTCCCATCTCCGCTTGAGCGCAAAGCTGGGGTCTGCACGCACGCATGCGCGGGCAGGGCAGGCACGAGTCAGGCTCAACGCCAGGGCAGCCGGGCTGGCTCTACGGCCCGGCCTGTGGAGCCCCACACCAGCGCCGCTGCCCGCACACCCAACCGCCGAGCACAACAGGGGCAGCCAAGCAAGCGTGGCGCCAGCCAGCCAGCAGCCAGGGAGCTGCCCGCCCCCCTGCATGCCCCGCACCCGCCCCCTCCACGCCACCCACCCTGCGCCGCCAGCTTCTCCTGCAGCAGCGGGTTCCCGCG